CACAGGGTGTTCTCCCTGTGTGTGTCTCTGTGTCCAAATTTCCTCTTTCTATAAGAATGTCAATGATACTGAATGAGGGCCCACCCTAATGACCCCATTTTAACTATATTACCTCTGTAGAGACCCTACCTCTAAATAAGGTCATGATCTGAACTACTCGGTATTAAGACTCCAACATATCTTTTTTTGGTAACACAGTTCAACCCACAGCAGTGACCACCTGCTGTGGTTTGAATGTATGTGTCTCTCCAAAATTCAAGTTGAAACTTAATCCCAATTGTAGTGGTACTAACAGGTGGGGCCTTTTGAGAAATGATTAAATGAGGAGGGCTCCCCTCATGCCCTCATGCCCTTGAAAAAGAGGCTTCAGAGAGCTGCGCGGCTCTTCCGTCCCTTCTGCCATGTGGGGATGCAGCAAGAAGATGCCATCGTGGAAACAGGAACAGNTTGGGGTTTCCACCTCTCTGGGCCACAGCTTTCTCATGTAAAATGCAAGCAGCAATCCAGCCCTGTCTTAAGTACCTAACAATAGAATCAACAGCTCTATCCTTAAGTCAGTGTGCTGTATGGTGAGCAAGGCAACCTAAGGAGTCTGGCCACAGATCCCAAAGCTATCAGAAGGCTGTAGTCAGTCGCACAGAGCTTTGGGGTCCCTGGACCCGCTAGGCCGCAGTGCTTGCTAAGGTTGACTTCACACCCACCCAATCCATGACCTGCATATGACCCCAGGGTTCACAAGGCTAGCACATGGCTGGCACAAGGCTGTCCCTGCCCCCTGGGGAATCTAGGGTCCAAGGAACTAACCAAGACACAATCAAGGAATGCCGGGTGTTCTCCATCTTGGCTGCAAACCAGAATCACCTGGGAGCTTAAAAAAAAGAAAAGAGAAATCCCAGGCCCCACCCCGACCAATTAAAGAGCAACCATAAGCCACAGGCCTTTTTAAAGAAGGCAGGTGAAGATCCTCCTGCTACGGGAGGCTTCAGCTCCCAGGGCTCCTGGGCGTATTCCTCTCTGAGAAATTATTAATTTTGTGCTTTCATTTTGATGATAGTCTATTTTTTTTTTACCAGTTATAGAAATAAAGGTTTCTCTTTGTTGTGATAATTTAAGACTTTTGTTTCCTGAGCTGACGCTTAATAAAATGAGATCAGCAGGAATATTCCAGAGGTTATGAGAACTTTTTAGAAAGGATGGAATCCACGTATTTCCTGGGAGCTGAGAAATCCTGGAGAGTACCGTCTGGAACTGAAAATGTGGAAGAGCCGTCCAGCGCCACAGGCTTTGAGAGCA